ATTACAGTCTTAGTACGGTTACAGGAAGGCTCTACCATATAATATAGAGGGCATCCACGACTTTTTCTGCCACCAGGGCGGCACCACTAGAAAGTGAGGTATAATATTTGACTGATTTCATAGTGAGGAAGTTAATTTGTTCGGAAAATGTAAAAGTTATTGTTTCTTTTTGTACTATTAACTATAGTTTATATTAATAACATTAAAAATAAATGAACCAAATCACAGATATTCATAAAAGTAGAAAAATAAAAAAAAAACATTAAAAATGTGAAAAAATTAAAGAGCAAATCACTGACGCATTGATTTCTGTATTAATATAATACTGTAGAAACTGATAAACTTTTATTAAAAACAACTTCTCAATTAAATGACATTGCGTAACAAAAACTTTACCTCAGTGTCAACTAACGACATCTGATGAGCAGAAAATTATTATTAGTTCTCATTGACACAACATGCCATTGATCTTATTTATTTTACAAATTCCACCGGATCTTCTTGTCAATTACTAAGTATATTAATTACATTTATTACAACTGGATTTATTTTTGCTTCGTCTACAATTTTGATAATTTTGACTATCAAAATGATAGATGAAGGTACAATAAATTCGATTTTTTTTAAATATTTTCTATTCCTTGTGAACTGTGAATGAGATGTCCCCATTTTTTTACTATTTGTAGCTACCCGAGTTCTGCCGGTACGTGGCACTCGTAATAACAAACATTTCAAGTTTCCTGCGAATGTTTGGTGAAATTTGCGAAACACCTTGCAAACTATGCTTCGTTGTTTGGTTATGAATATAAAAATAGACACGATTGGAAAAATATTTACTTCTATGTTCTCCGTCTTCTGCATAATGTATCAAACTATATTATATGTGTTGTAAACTTGGTTGAGACTCTGAATTTGGAATAATTCAAAATATATTTTTTATAAGATCTCTGTAACTGACCATGAGCATCTCACGTTTAAATAATTTAAAATTAAAAATGTTGTATAACCGACTTCAATAAAAATTATTAAGAATAACTCAAAAATCTTTGGTCAGAGTATATAAACCAAAATCATCATTATCATCATCATCATTACAGCCCTTCACAAGTCCACTGCTGAACATAGGCCTCCCCCAAAGAATGCCACAAAACACGGTCCTGAGCCACCTGCATCCATCGACTTCCTGCATGTCTTACCAGGTCGTCACTCCATCTCGTGGGGGGACGCCCTACACTTCGCCTACCGGTACGAGGCTGCCACTCGAGAACCTTTCTTCCCCATCGGTTGTCGGTTCTTCGAGCTATATGGCCGGCCCACTGCCACTTCAGCTTACTAATCCGTTGGGCTATGTCGGTCACTCTGGTTCTACTGCGGATATCCTCATTCCTAAGTTTATCACGCAGAGAAACTCCGAGCATAGCCCTCTCCATAGCTCGCTGAGCGACCTTGAGCTTCCTCATACGGCCAGCAGTGAAGGACCACGTCTCAGTTCCGTAAGTCATCACTGGCAACACGCACTGGTTGTACAATTTCGTTTTCAGGTTTTGAGGTATGTCTGACGAGAAGATGTGTCGTAGCTTCCCGAACGCTGCCCAGCCGAGTTGAATCCGTCGATTGACCTCTCGGTCGAAGTTGGACTTACCCAGTCGGACTATTTGTCCCAGGTAAACATACTCGTCAACAACTTCGAGCTTAGTGTTCCCAACAACTATCGGCATAGGTGTGACATGGACATTAAACATGATCTTAGTTTTGTCCATGTTCATCTTAAGACCTATCCGTTGGGAAACACTATTGAGGTCATTGAGCATAGTGCTTAGGTCCTCCAGCGATTCTGCCATAAGGACTATATCGTCGGCAAATCGAAGGTGAGTGATGTACTCGCCATTGATGTTGATACCGTATCCTTTCCAGTCCAGAAGCTTGAAAACGTCTTCCAATGCAGCGGTGAAGAGTTTCGGGGATATGACGTCACCCTGTCTTACACCTCTCTGCAATTGGATAGGTTTCGTACTCTGGTTCTGTACTCGGATAGCCATCGTAGCCCTACTGTACAAGCACTTCAACACTTCGATATACCGACAGTCAACTTGGCACCGCTGAAGGGACTGCAGCACCGCCCAAATTTCGACGGAATCAAAGGCTTTCTCATAGTCCACATACGCCAGACATAGTGGCAAATTGTACTCTTCGGACTTCTGTACAACTTGCCGAAGGGTATGTATGTGGTCTATGGTGCTAAAGCCTTTTCGGAAACCGGCTTGTTCGGGAGGCTGGAAGTCGTCAAGTCTGCGCGCGAGACGATTCGTAATGACTCTCGAAAACAGCACGTAGACGCGGCTCAGAAGGGAAATCGGTCTGTAGTTCTTCAAGAGAGCGTTGTCACCTTTCTTGAAGAACAAGACCACCGCACTTCTGCTCCACGCCTCCGGTGTAATGCCACCATGGAGGACGGAATTAAAGAGCTTCTGAAGGACTTCAAGTACCGGTCTTCCACCCGCTTTCAGAAGCTCCGCTGTAATTCCATCCTCGCCTGGGGCCTTACCGTTTTTAAGGTGCTGGAGAGCCATCCTAATCTCGCTCAGACTGACATCCGGGATATCTTCGGAATAGTGTCGGATGAGACTCGCTCTTGGATCGTTACTCACACTTGCGTGTGGCTCCAACGATGATGTGTACAGCTGCCCATAGAACCTCTCAATCTCACTCAAAATCTCAGGTGTCCCGGAAACGATGCTGCCACATTCTGTCTTCAGCTTTGACAGTTGGCTCTTTCTGGCAGACAGATCTCTGGCAAAGACTTTGGAGCCTTGGTTCCGCTCGATCGCTTCTTCAATACGAGCTGTATTGAAGTTGCGTAAGTCCCGCCGCATGCATTTGGAGATCTGTCTGTTCAGATGCCTGTATGCTGTCAAGTCTGTTGAAGAATGTAGCTTCATCTCCCGTCTAACAGCCATGAGATTAAGAGTGTGATCGGAGAGTTTTTGTGTTCTTCTGCGGCGGGTCTTGCAGAACTTAGCTCCAACCGCATGGACAGTTTCCACGAGCTTGTCATTCATATCGTCCACTTCATTGCAGTCTTCTAGGCACTGAAAACGGTTTTGTAACTCGAGCTGAAAGGTTTCGGGACTTTGAAACAGAGCACGAGGGGGACGGAGCGTTGACTTCATTAGACGAGACCTCTCCAACTTAACGTTTAGGTTCAGTGTGCCTCTAACCATTCGGTGATCGCTACCAGTTTTCACCCTCGCGATCACGGAGACATCACTGAACAGTTGTCGTCTGGTCGTCATAATGAAGTCAATCTCATTTTTTGTGGAACCGTCGGGGCTCGACCAGGTCCACTTCCTGTGGGGCCGCTTCTGGAAGAAAGAGTTCATCATAAAGAGTCCCTCTTTCTCCATGAAGTCGGCCAGCTGCTGGCCCCTTGGGTTCCGTTGCCCTATTCCAAATTTCCCTACTTTCAGCTCACCGTTCTCTCTTGTGCCTAGTTTTGCATTGAAGTCTCCCATTAACACCGTATATTGGGTTTTGGAGGAATGCATGGCTCTAGAGATATCCTCATACATTTCCTCCACCTCCTCATCGGGGTGTGCCGAGGTTGGTGCGTAAACCTGTATGACCTTCAGCGAATACCGTTTGGTGATTCTGAGTATAAGGTACGCAACCCTCGTCGACACACTCCCGATTTTTACAACGTTGTTAACGAGAGACTTGTGGACGATAAATCCGACACCTCCTTGGGACAGATGGTCGCCCTCCCGGTGATAGAGCAAGTTGCCGGATTCGAGGATTACCGTGTCCTCCCCCTCTCTTCGGACTTCAGATAATCCTATAATATGCCAGCGCAACTTGTCTATCTCTTCTTCCAGCTCCACGATCTTCTCGTCAGTCCTCAGGGTGCGTGCGTTGTACGTTGCCAGGTCGAGTCGTCTAAGGTGGCAACCGAACCTCCACCGGAGATTCTTAGCACCCCCTGCCCCGCCGTTACCATGGTCGCCACCGTAGCCAGGAATAGCGGGGCCGCCGGGGACTGGGGGCCGTCTCTTTGTTACTCTCTTCATAGGGGGGTATTTGCCATAGTTGCCACGCTTGGCGAGCGGGTTGGCAACCGCAGTTTTTTTATTGTCATTTGGCTATTATCAGGAAGATGCTGCTGCCCATCTCCTGGCTGTTTCCCTTTGTCGCCTTTTACGACACCCACGGGAGGATATGGGGTAGTGGATATTCTTGACCGCCACTACACGGCACCATAAACCAAAATAACTGTTCTTATTTAACGGGCGACCAATGTTCCAAAACATTTATGAAACAGCTTGGAACATCATGCTCTTCTACGTTCTTGCTTAAGCTAACCTTAGATGAAATAATTTTAAATTTTGTACAACCGACTTCAATATATATATATATTAATAAGGATAACTCAAAGACTATTGATCAGAACTTGATTATTATATGGGACCACATGAGAACAACCAGATTTCAAATAAAAGAAAGAATCATTGAAATCGGTTCACGTAGAACAAAGCTATGAGGTAACACACATAAAAAATATACAGTCGAATTCAGTACCTCCTGCTTTTTGAAGTCGGCGATTTTAGAACAAAGGAAAGAAAAAGAGGAATTTAGAACGTTTGTATTTAAAAGTTACTTATAAGACAATATCTGTAGTGTAATAGTTTCCTTGCACACCAACTACGCACAACAACAGATGTAATACAGCAGTTATACAGCCTCCTTTAGCTTTTGCAGCTACTGTACAGCGCTACTAACGCATAAAGCTGCATAATTTGTGCCAATTTTTTTCTTATAAGAACTGTACATATACAGCTTTTATATAGCCAGAAAATACAGCCTCTAGTATAAAAATGAACTTCAATACAGCTCGCATACAGCTTGAATGCTGCTTGGGTTATACTCAGCAGTGGACTTTAATAGGCTGTAACGGTAATGTAGTCATTCGCTCAGAATGCAATTAAAAAAATCACTCTTTTTTTCAGATATCTCCTGCTCTACCCCGAAGAAGAATACGCGGATTTAAAATTTGCCTTCTACGATTCGCCATAATAAATAACAGTATATAAATAAATGTTAACAGCTATATTTTTTTATTCCCGCCAATGAGGGCGGATCACGAATTTTCCTGTCACCAGGGCGGCGCCACTTAAAAGTGAGGTATAATATTTGGCAGATATTATAGCGGGGAAGTTAATTTGTTCGGAAAATGTAAAGGTTAATGTTTCTTTTTGTGGTATTAGCTATATTTTATATTAATAAGATTAAAAATAAATAAACCAAACCATAGAAATTCACAAAGTTGAAAAGTTAAAAAAATTAAAAGTGTACAAAAAATTAAGCAACAAGCCACTGAGGCATTGTTTTGTGTTTTAATATAATACTTTTGAATCCGATAAACTTTTATTAGAAACTAACTTTTCAATTAAATAACATTGTGTAACAAGAAACTTTACCCCAGTGTCAACTAGCGGCATCTGGTGAGCAGAAAATTATTAGCCTTCATTAAGCGTTGAAGAACCGCTCGAAAAAAATGGCGTAGCTGTCAAACAGAGTGTAAAAAGATGCATAAGAGAGATGCATAATATACAAATAAATAAATTTGTAGTGTCTGTTTGTAATATGAAAATAACCAGCTTTTTACTAAATGCACATGAAAGTATATACGATACATATAACAAAAAAGCAATTTTTACAAATTTTGTCTGTCTGTCTGTCTGTCTGTTTGTTCCGATAATCTCCGAAACGGCTGAACCGATTTTGGTGGAACATTCACTGGCAGATAGCTGGTGTTATAAGGAGTAAATTAAGTAACTTTTATTTAAGAAAAAGAATTAGAGTTCCGCGCAAAAAAATTAAAACCCATAAAATTGATCGTAGTATATTCCAAGCGGACGAAGTCGCGGGGAAGCTAGTTATGAATAAAAATACAATCACTTCATCATGCTATTGTAATAGGACATGATAAATTGATCGCAAATATTTACCTTTTCCCCTTTCGCATATAATTATTGCTTCTATCGGCAGGACCACACTGTCACTAATTTACATCACATAACTACGTAAAAACTGTATAAGATTATACTACTAAATTGTATGCCATCAAAAACATAACTTCTAAATAAAACCAAGTCTCGCAACTCAGTTCTTCTACCGTAAAAAGTTGTGAGATCCATGTAATACCAAGACGGTTAATTTATTCAGTCCCTACTTAAGGGTCCTTCCGTCTTAAGTTATTACGTAATTTGCTAACCTAACAATATCTTGTAGTGACCACATCAATACTAAAAATCTTTTATATTTTAAATAAATAGATTGACTTGGCCATCGCATTAAAACGCAATGTATCTCTCAAGTAATACATATTAATATATTAAATTAGATTGTTTAGTGCGATTGCCAAGTCAATTTATTTATTTAACACTTTCACTGTCCGGATTTGAGACACAATAGTAAGACAATAGCAATGACCTATATGTAGTGCACGGGACAGCGAAAGGGTTAAAACATAAAAGATTTTTAATCTAGATATGATCACTATAAGATGTTGTTAGGTTAGCAAATTACGTAGTAACTTAAGACAGAAGGACCCTTAAGTAGGGACTGAATAAATTAACCGACTTGGTATTACATGGATCTCACGACTTTTTACGGTAGAAGAACTGAGTTGCGAGACTTGGTTTTTTTTTTACAAGTTATGTTTTTGATGGCATCTCATTTCTTTTTGTACATAGTTATATCTAGGTACCTATCTACACCTATTATACCATTATATTATACATATATTAATTATTAATTTTGGTCCGATCTACGTTGAAGAAAAAAAGCTGAAGGTTCTACGGTTTAACTCTGACATCGGGACGTCAAATAAGTTAATTAAACGCGATAAAAAATCATAAGCGATAAATTATTTCTATATGAATAAAAATCAATTCGCGCATGTATGAAAGATCATCACTTGAGAACGGCTGGGCCGAATTTGATGAAATTTCTGTGTGTTTGAGTGGTTGTTTTAGATTCACTATTGGACCCGGTAGGTCGTGCCGTGGTCGAGATCTAGAAATCACCCGTGCGAAGCCGGGGCGGATCGCTAGTTAAAAATTAAAATAGAGTAAAACATGATGTTATAAATCCCAGGAAGTAATTACTTTTAAAAATTAAAATTCAACCATAAAAAATTATAAATATATATATTCGTCAATTCCATTTTCGATAGCTTCAATCAACTTTCTGAATTTTCACAATTCAGTGAACGCTAGCTAGTGTTTTAACGTGATTAAATACGGAAATATTCAATAACTTACTTTGATTTGCAACGCGTATTTTTTTCTTCCCCTTTTGTATTTTTGATTTCATAATGATTTTTATTATATAAATGGTTTTTTATATAAAATATACTTCCGGAGTAGTCCCAATTCGGAGAAGAAATTTCACCTTTTTTTGATAGAATAAGGTGATAAACGAGCACACAGTCCACCTGATGGTAAGTGGTTGCTGTGACCCATAGACATCTACATCTATCCTCGTTTGCGAATCAAAATGCAGATGCTCTGTCACCCGTGAAGGCTAACATGGAATGCCTCTTTTCCAGATAATGCATATCAGTTTTTAATAAACTGCCGAAGAGTCTACGGGAACTTCCATTATAATATTTTAAAATTAAGTTGAGAAAATGGCTAGTGGATAAGTGTTTTTATACGATACAAGAGTTCATGCAACATAAAACTAATGTATATAATTATTTGTAATATTAAATAAAATGTAATATAATTATAATAATAATAAATATGATAAATAATAACATAACTTGACATTTTTGTAAGTAATATAATAGTATTTTAATTGTTTTATATAATTATAAATATTTGCATGCCTATTAAAGGCAGAATATAGTTTGAACTATGCACCACTGTTAAATCTGGCACCACCTGTATTCGGTGCAAATAAATATTTCTTTCTTTCTTTTTTTCTTTCTGAAAAAAGGCTCTAAGATGAGAATATAGGGGATGAAGTTTGTAATATATCTATTTAGACAGCATTCTAGTTGTTACTCTGTGATTATACTTTAGATTGTTACAGCTGTAATCAAAATAAAGCTAACTAACTACAGGCTGACCGCGTGATTAATTAAAAAGTTTCAGACACGCGTCACAATGTAGCCGACGCTAACTCGCCAGTCAAATAGTTTTAAAAGTTCAATGTCTTTTGTTAATCCCTGGCAGAAATCAGAAAGTAGTCACAAAGGTGAATGTGACTGGTTAAATTTGTAAGTTTTAACTTCGGTTATTAATGGAATAAACTTTTTGGGTCTAGCAGTACGGTAATGACCTAGCTCTATGTTTAATGGTTAATTGTATTTCTAACTAGCGACCCGCCCTGGCTTCGCCTTCTTTTAAATTGGCGTCATTTAGCTTGAAGATAATCAAAGAGTATTTAAAATAAATATTTAATCAATTTAGCGTTTTTTCAAAATATCTTCTTTATGTTTTTCGAATAAAGTAAAGCCTAGGTTGCTCCATATCTATTCGTAAAGTTTCATCCAGACAGACAGATAAAAATTATTAATGATTCATCATCATCAAAAGTCCACTGCTGAACAAAGCCTCCTCCAAGGAATGCCACAAACACGGTGACTTAGGTCACCTGCATCCATCGACTTCCTGCATGGCTTACCAGGTCGTCACTGTATCTCGTGCGGGGGCCGCCTTACACTTCGCCTGCCGGTACGAGGCTGTCACCCGAGAACTTTTTTCCCCATTGGTTGACGGTTTGTCGAGCTATATGGCCGGCCTATTGCTACTGGAGCTTACTAATATATTGGGCTATATCATATAAGCGTACAAATAACCCACTGAGCTAATAAAAGCAGGTTAAGATGCATATAGGGTTATTTTGCAATAACCGGACAAATTTGCAGAGAAGGACGTGGTTCTGGTTTATCCCGGCCCAGACATGAGAACAGTATACCATGTGAGGCCCAAATTAAATCTTCCTGATATAAAGACTCAAATTAATAAAAAACTGCGCTTGCCAGTCCGCCTGCCAAGCGTGGCAACTATGGCAAAACCCCCTGTGTTTGATCACGTGATACATATGATTCCACTCAAGTTCAATTCTGAACATCCCTTTTCCCTTTGAGGCAATCTATGGTGGAACATAGGCTATGTTCGGCAGTGGACTTTTATAGGCTGTGACGGATGGATAGATATGATACACCTCTTCTTCTCTTCTGTATTGTATGACTATATGTAGTGTGGAGGTTATGTTTATGGGAGGTTATGGTATAATTAAAAATTTTGTACAACCGACTTCAATATCAATTATTAAGGATAACTCAAAAACTACTGGACAGGCTCTGATCAAATTGTTGAAAAAACCACATGAAAAGCACCAGCTTCCCAATAAAAAAAGAATCAAAAAATCGGTTAACCTTAGATGAAATAATTTAAAATTTTGTACAACCGACTTCAATATATATTAATAAGGATAACTCAAAGACTATTGGTCAGACCTTGATTATTATATGGGACCACATGAGAAGAACCAGATTTCAAATAAAAAAAAGAATCATTGAAATCGGTTCACGTAGAACAAAGCTATGAGGTAACACACATAAAAAAACATACAGTCGAATTGAGGACCTCCTCCTTTTTGAAGTCGATTAATAAGAAAAATCATACATTATCGTAATACATCCAGGTAAATATAACAAAAAAGATATATTGCCACATCATGTGTTCTTATATTTAATTAGTTAAATAAATTGTGAAACTGCGTAGAAGCCACAAAATTATACAATCTGTCTGTCAAAGCCTAAAATTACATGTTTCGTGAAGTTTGAGACGATTTACATGAAATTTGATGATATAAATAACGTTAAATAACACCCTTAGCAATGAATTTCGTTCATTAGGCACGGGCCAAGCCTTTTAACTGCCTCATGGAAACGCAGCCTCCAGGGCAAGGGAGATATAATACAGCACTTTATGCCTTTTTTGTATGTTCCAAGTTTTGAGCGGTGTTTATGTACATATTTATAGATAAGTAAATAT